TAGGTTAAGGTTCGGTTAGGAATAATTTATTGTTCGCTATTAGTCAACATATTTATACCGTACACGTCGTTATAGTTTTAAATAGGTTGAGATTCGGTTAGGAATTATAATATACAATTGTAAATAGGTAAGGTTACGTTTATATAGACTTAGAAGTAAGTATTTATCGTAGTATCACGCAAATAGGTCTATTGATCATATTCAATAAATTGTTGCATTACAGTATGTTGATGTGTTTTTTTTTTGTTTTTTTGTTTTTTGCCTCAGCTATTGCACCGGGCCGGTTTAATAGGGTTTCTTGCATGCTTAGAAGAAATCTGCATGTTCAGTATTCATTTCTGACAACGTGATGCATGTCATTATATTGATCGGGAATAGTTTTGATCGCGCTACACGACTCATATTTTATAAATCGACCTACATATTATGACTTATATCTTCATAGAATACACCGGGCGAATCGACTTTGAGTCCGGGAGAAACGACTTTTTGTTCGGGCGAATCGTCTTCCAGTTCGGGCGAAAGGGTTTCAGGCGAACGGAATTTCGGGCGAAACGACCGTAAACCCTTCAAAAATGGTTTTACGGTGTACTTGTAGGGTAATAAGGTGATACCTACCTGAAAATAAAACTACTTTTCTAAACTAGCTGATAATTACCGTTACCTTTGTTCAAAATAATACGTTACCTTTAATACGTTACCTATAATACGTTACCTTTGTTCAAAACAGTATGGCAGGTTGGTATATAACCCTTGCCAACAGCTTTCGCCGGAGTATAGAAGGTATTTGATATTATTAGTCAACTGTTGGTACAGCAAGGATTTAAAAATGTTTGCCTAACAGCCTCGCGAAATTCTCGGCGACGCCACCAATAAATGAGAGGATTTAAAGAAGAATTAAATAAAATGATTGAGGTGGAATATAAATTAAGTAACATAAACGATTTGCTTCGCGTGTTGGAGTTAATAATAATGATTACTGTCAAACAACAGTAAGGCAGGAAACAAACCAAAAACACGAACACCACGTAAAACGTGTTAATGACAGAATTTTTTAACTGCTTCATCTTCGGCGTTGTCTCAGAACTGATTTGATTCTGAATCTGTGCCTGATGTCGTCTCAAAACTTTGAAAATTCTACTGTAAGCAAGACAGGTCAAGAAGAAACAAAGGACGATCAGTACCATACCGACGGCGAGGTAGATGGGAAAACTTGCTAACCGCGTCAGTGTCAAAAGTGCACTGGTTGCCCATAGGGTTATCTGGAGGTAAATTACCTTTTTTAACGTTACAAACTGCGGATACCTCAAGTGGAAATGGATTGCCAGGTACCTATCGATGCTTATGGCCGTGATGGTGAACATAGAGATAACAACGAGAAATGACGATGATACGTTGTAAATAACCACGAGCGTGCAATTTATGGGAAAGCGTTGGTAACGCGTGATGAGGACTGTAATATATAGAGGCTCTACCACAAGGCCAACTCCAAAGTCTGACAGGGCCAGCCCGAGGAGAAGAAAATTTGCTGTCGAATGCAAGGCTGAAGAACGCAAAATACTAAAGATAATTAACAGATTTCCTGCTGTGGCTGAAGCTGAAATGATGCCGTTAAAGATGGCATTGATGAGCAACGCTGCATCTGCCTCAAGCAACAAGAGCATGGGTGTCTCCATAATACATCGAGCATTACTTGACGTGTTCAACGCAGCCATCGATACTTCAAGACCAATCAGGTCTGGTGGAGTTTTGCGTTCGGCGTTGAGTGCGATGACAAATAACTCGCCAACATCCGTTGAGATGACAGCAATTGAAGTTACTGTCAATCAAATGTAAATTAAAACGAGTTTTGAAATATTAATTAATAACAAGTTGGAGCTTTGCCTTAAAGAAAACACATAATTCTTGCATAGCAAGATTACATTTCCGATACTGTAAAACCGTACTACTCGACTAATTTATGAAAAATTTCTAATTTGGAAGAAGGGCTTTGTTTATATTTTAATAAAACTGTCGTGTCCAGGAAACATGCATAAGAACACTGTGCTACGTATATTTGTAAATGTCAGTTTAGAAATTAAATTATTTATAACTTTCAAACGAAAACCCAATGATAGTTTTTAACTTCAAAACATTTCTCGACAGTCTAGGAGTTGTGAATTAAGTGTAGACAATGCATATACCTTTAATGTCTAGAAAAAAACTATGAAATAGTGAGTTTTAGGTCATAACATTTTAAAAGTGAATTAATTAGGTAAGCGCAAAAATATAAATAAAAGAAAAATACGGAACAATTAATATGAAAACTCAATAAAAGTGGAAAGGACAAAAAACAATGAAATGGTTTACACCTATGAAAACAAAAAAATTTAACCGTAATGGTCTTCCAACCATAAATGAAGTTTTTGTTTTGTTTTGTCAAAAAAGCTCTTCCTGACCTTGGTGTTGGTCTCGGACTGAAGTACTCTGTGCCAAACGTTACGTAAGCCTTCTAATAAGTTGCACTGTCGTGTTTATTTACAATACTGGATCTTCATTTTTCTTCATTATCTCTGTTTATTACTGATACCGTTTTACAAATATCTAGCAAATTATTTTTCATTTTGAGTTTTCAGGAATTGATGACCGAATTAATCAACTGTTGGAAGCATGTGAGCTTTTTGCATGGATGCGTATAGCAGGCTTTGGATGCTACCTTTCCGTTGACATATCTTGACAAAAGTAAAATATTCATATCATATTAACACGAAATCAGCCAAAGATTCAGATTCAAATGAATACTCAGATAATATCTAAGACGAAATAATAACGAAGTTTTGTCACCCAAATTTACGCAGTTTCGTTTTGTGTGTGTGTGTGTGTGTGTTTTATTTTTCTTTTGTTTGTTTATTTTCGACCTCACGGTTGCTTAATTCACGATGAATATAATAATGGCAGTACTCTGAGCAAAATTGTTCGTTAGTTAATTTGCACACCGCATCAATTATTTTCAGTTTAAACTCGTCCTTAAATCTTTTCATTTATTACCAGTGCTGAAGATAAATTCTGGAGACGGTTGAACGTGTGAACATTACTAAACCAGTGTTGAGACAATTAAAATAGTTTTGCAGTTTAAGGGAAGAAGGTCTGGTTTATTTAGTTCCCCCTATTTAGTTTGTTTAATTTTGTCAGGAGTTTTAAGTTGAATTAATTAGTTTTTTCTCCCAGTCCTTTACAATGCAAGAAACTACAATTAGAATTCATTTTCAGTCAATGTGCACCTGCCGTTAAACTTCTTGTCACAGCAACTGCTAGTGAATGTGTCGTAATAACTTGCGTTAGTATACTGAACATTTGTAATTTCCCACTGACTCAGACTAAAAAAATCTGGATTAACGTAGCGGTTTAATGCGTGAAACAATTTTTAAAAACTATTTCATGCAATTTACGTGGCTCTCTAATCAACAGAACAACTTGAAAACGTCCTGGATAAAATCAACTTAGTAAATCCAACCAATGTGTTGCCCCCTGACAATCACTCAATACCCCCTGTAGGGATAGTTATTACATAACTCGGCAGAAGACGCCATCTGTCATTTTTCATGCTAGCCTCGAGAACTGTTGACCATAACAAAGCTATACTTTGGAGATATCTGCACGGTCAGATTTTTCTACGTTAAGTATGCCCAGCGTCTTTTCAATCGCATCAACGACGTTTATTACTTGGTTTCTTGTTTTTCACAGGAGCGTTGGTAGGTAAATATTCCAGATAATTTCACATTTGTTATCCCCATTCTGAAATACAGAAAAACACTGAAAATCACGAAAGTAAGCAGAAGAAAGCATTTCTTATTTTTCATGTTAGTCTTAACACTGTTGGCCATTACTAAGCCGATATCGATAAGTAAAAGGAAATCTGCACGGTCAGATATTTCCCACGTTAAATACACCCAACGTCTTTTCAATTGCATCAACGGCGTTTATTACTTGGTTTCTGTTTTTTTTTTCAGAGGATCGTTGGTTGGTATTTCAGATGATTTCCTATTTGTTCCACCAATTTGTGAATAAGTAAAATACCTACAAATGTGGAATTTGGGTGAAGGTTATGTAAAGAATCCAAATGAAAGAGGGAAACTTGATTTGAGACTTGAAACAATCCGAAGCCTGAAAGACTGATTAAATTGATTCTCAGTTTCCACTGAGGCACCACAAACTGTGTTTGAGAAGTTTTCTTGTAACATAGCTTTTCCTGACGCCCTACAGACGTTTTGGGGCCAAAATGTCACTGCAAAGAAAAAAAAATGGATGTCACTTTATGAGAGACGTAATAGTTCGCCTGTTTTTTCGCGCAAGGAATCTTGTTTGAAACAAACGAACCACTGTGTCACCTCAAAGTCTAATTTAATTAATTTTCACTTTTAACTTACCGCTATGGAGTCTTCAGAAATATTTGAAGAGTTTCCATACCACAAACCTTATGAAAATCTCTGGTAAAAATTCCCCCTGTTAAAGAGTACATAAACACTGGATGACGTTTGTAAGACCCACTGATTCGTAATTTTTTTTCCTTTTTTCCCACATGAATGCACACTTTAGGCTCTTCATTTAAACATATGCGGCACTTACATGACTCAAATTTGTGCCTGTGGCACAACTATGGTACGTAAAGTAAGTAAGTAACGCGGCGATGTACGTAAGGTCAGCAGCCCATCACTTGGAGCGTGCAACTCCCATACTAAGCCTATGTCACGGCATTTTAACAGACTGGTCTATTTTTAGGCTTCTTTTCCCGCGAAATAGGTCAGATCCGGTCTACGTGCGTGAGTGCGTATCGATAGATTTTCTTTTCTTAATCTCTTGGTGAAATGATGACGTCAGTTAAAAATTAAGTCCGTGCTTATGATTAGTCACTGAGGTTCCCGCGGGGATCTGAATTCGCGGTGACAGGAATATGGGGTAGTTGCATCTTCCAAGTGATGGGCTCCTGACATTACATCGCCACGTTACTTACTTTACGTAGCATATCAAGAAAATAGTTGTGCCACAGGCGACCACAAGTAAAAAATTGTCCGGCTTGCTCAGCTTGCTCAGGTTGCTCGGCTTACTCGGTTTACTATAAGCGGCGCTAGATGTTTACGGGTAATTAACGTGCATAGTATTCAATGATCATCCCGCCGGTAAGATGAGAAAGGGTCTCAACAGTGTTTGTTTTGTTCAAGTTAACTATTTATTGCTTTCTAAATCGTATGAAAAAATTTCGGCCGATACTTCTTCCCGAAGTATCGACTTTTGGTCGGGACGAATCGACTTTGAGTTGGGGCGAGACGACCGTAATTCTGTTACGCTACTCACTATCTACAACAGAATAGGTAGTGAGTAGCGTAGCCAATCGGCGAACGGAGTTCGCCACTAAAAAAAAGCGGTTTCTGACAATGTGCTTTTTTTTATCTTAAGACTGTTGCCGCGTGAAGAGTTATGCAGCACCGATCTATGACAAAGCATTACAGGGTCACGTTTTCAAAGCTCTTCAGCTGGAAAAAGAAGAGTTGTGTCGCATCAACTGTTACTTGGAGGAAACGTGTCAATCACCTTGGCCGCTGGGAATGTGAACTCAGCGACACCGACGACAAACAACACCCAGAGAGTCTGGTTACCTCACTAGGAAAGATCTATCGTGCAACCCAGGTAACGTGCGTAATCTCCTGGACGCGCCCGGTTGAAGCGACGTGGCTTTTTGGGTAGCGCGCTGGTTTTGTAATCCGGAGGTCCCAGGTTCGAATCATCCTCCCTACGACCAGATGGATTTGTGTTGGGCGGTCCCGAATTCAACTCCACGTCTTGTAAATAGACAGCTGGTTGGCCTCCAACCAGTTGGGATTTTAAGCAACTTTTCAGTTCTATTTACAATGTTTGTTTTTTTTCTTTATAGTATCCCCAATTATCACAGCAAAATGTTAAAAACAGTTAAAATGTTGTGGTTTATAGTGCTAAATGCCATGACACTGTTAAGTGTCATGGTACGCTTTTTTAACATTTTGCTTTGGAATAAATTGCCTCATAATCCTTTACAAGGCTAGCTATGTTATTTATCGCTCGTGATTGTCGAGAAACGGAACAAAGGATCACACAGAGTATCTATTAAAAAGAAGAAAAAACTATTCTTAATTACGGTAACTGGATGGTATTCAATTTTCTCTAATTATTTTTCTTGTTATTTTCTTCCATTCTGCTGTCAAACTTAGCTTTCAGATGATGTCACATTTCTTGATCACATGATTAAAAATTCCCAACTGGGAACCGGCTCGAGATTAAACCGCCGGCCACTTACAAAGTGTGCCAAGAATTTTAACCCAATACCGAGAACAGTAAATCATCTAGAAAATAACCCAAAGAAAATATGCGCGCTGATTGATTTAATGTTTTGATTAGATAATTATATTATGAGTTCCAGATTTCTATCGCGTGATGGTTGAACGCTAGAACGTTAGCAGATTTATACTAAAACTCGATAGAATCGAGATAGAAACACGATACATGTTTTCTCTTTCTTAAACATCCGGGACTTAAGTCTGGATTTCAAGAGTGACGTCCTAACCGCTCGGCTACACTAACTCCCTTTTACTAACTAACATTATACATTCATTTTCTCCGCGTTTTTGTCTTAATTAGCTCTTATTTGACAATTCGACGTTTTTCAGAATCCTTGCAGTAGTTCTCCCTGCGTATCTAATGCAACTTGCCAACCGACGTTTTTAAAAGATGAAAGCTTCGTGTGCAAATGCCCTTCTGGATTTGAGGGACACAGCTGCCATAAAGGTAAAGTTAATTTGCATTTCAATCCTCTGATCTTGCAGCTCCTCAAGACATGTTTTTTTTAAGAATGTCCAAAGATGATCTATTATAGATTATTCTGTTTATGTTATTTTTTGGGAAGCTGGGGATTTAAATGCTTAAACGTTTGCCTGCTGTTTATGAAACTGAGTAACTTTTAACTGGTGGATTTAAGGGATGCATGGGTTCGGGGGGGTTCGGGTGAACCCCCTAAATTGAAAAAATAGCACATTAGAACACGCTGACTTGGCCTCAGAATGCTAGAAATCCCATTGCCGAGGATGCCCTAGGATCCTCCTACAGGGAATCCGGGGGATCCTCCGCCTTTGCGGTCCGTGCCTTAAACTCCCTTCTCTAAAATCCTGTATACGCCCCAGCTTTAAACGGAAAAATACAAACCAATCGCATTTGGTTGCTTTTAAAAGAAAAATTCCTGTCTGTCAGGTTGTGTAACCATTTTAGAACAATAGAGAAAAATAACCAATATTTACTTTTGCAAATAACAGCTGGATTATGATGGACTAGTTAATGGTTAAATTATTCTATTTTATTTTTAAATGTCAGCCAAGAAAGGATTTGGACTCGACAATCCAGCCTCGACATGCGTTGAGGTCGTAAACGAAACCTCGTAAGTAAGAAAACCGTGTCTTTTCTTAAAGTTACAGCAGATCCTATTAAGACAAGCTCTAAACGAAAGAACAAATTCTGTCATCTTTAGTATTTACAAACCTGATAAAACCCAACGAAGAGAAATTAATTTCAAATATTACAAGTATGTTTTGAGAAGGAGCCAGCCATGTTCTGACATAACACATGCTCCCCACGTTAAAATTTAATTACCAGACATCAAATTTTCCTTTTCTTTCAACACCGAGAGATTTTTCTGTTAGAAAATTTGTTCAGTGGATTTATCATTATATACTGACAACTGCTACTTTCAAATCGAAGGGAGTTGCATTTTATGTAAATGCTTTTTAAAGACGCAAATTATAACAATTATATATTACAATGCATTAATACTGACACTACATTACAAATTACACTGGAACCCCACGTTACGGCCCTCCTGTTAATAAGGTCACCTCGTTATTACGGTCACTTTATTCTGGCCCATCAAATATTTATAGAACCCCTTTAACACGCCTACCCCATTTATACGGCCAGATTTTTGTGGCTTGTTTGTGAACGCATTAATGGGGTTCCACTGTATTTCTTACACTAGTCACAATACTCAAAATTAATCAATCGAAGCAAAAACTCATAGTTGTTGCAAAGGTGTATTCACTAGATAGGAAAACAACAACAACAACAAAAACAGACAGATAACTTGGATTTTGAAATAATAATTACTACTAATAGTTAATTTAAATAATTAGTGATAAAACCTATTATCCTTAGCATACACCCACCCTTGGGCGTTTTCCACGAGATATAACAAAATCTCGCCAATGTGTCAATTTAGAACTGCTCCAAGTGGAGGCTACTTTCTTACTACTGAGGAGGGAGGGGTGCAACAGACCTACTGTCACATGGATATTATTGCAGGGTGTGGCGAGGGACCCTGGACTCTAATAATGAAGATAAGTGGAAACCAGGTGAGACGATCGGGCAAATAACGACAGCGACGGAGGAACACAAAGATAATTACACACAAAAATACTTATAGTACTTTACAGTACAAGTACTTTATAATGTAGCAATCTACGGATCGCTCAAAACCAGACATAAACTAAAACAATTATATTCAAAATTGATTTTTCGGACGTAGGCCTTGCCATTTTGCGTTGAATCACAGGCGACCACTTCCCTCGTAGATGGCGCCGTGGGTTAATACTTAGCAGAAGCTTTGAGACGGGCTCTTTGTGTTTGTTTCTTTGCCCCACTCTACAGGGGAGTAAAAACAGACACAGGCCAACTGTTAGAGCATACATAACTTGACAAAATACCGGAATGTCATCCTAGTCCCTTCATGATCAAACTATAGAATCGGAATGTTATACTCCTAAGTTCTTACGTGTTCTTGCCATCCAAGTAATGATTGTAATAAAGCCTTTCATTTTCCAGTCTGAAAAGATAGGACCGCTAGCATTTAATTTCGCCTCTAGTTCAAAGATATTGAGCTCTGTCAGAGTTACCCGTGGCTTGTCCGTTTTCCATTTGTACGGTATGTGAAAGACTTGGCGGCTTTTACTTTGCAGACGACGTTCCACTATAACTCTCATTACTGGCTTGACAAGCAGGTCTACAACCCGGATGGTGGACTCACTGGATTTGACGAAATCGAAACAAAACTGCCAAGCTACTGGAGCACTCCATTCAATCAAATGTGCCTTGGAATGAAGTCACAGGGCACTACGAACTGGATCAGGGTTGAATCTTACAATACCGCGTCACTGTATCCCCTGTTAGCTGACGGCAACCACAGACCAACCAATACCGGACGCAACACTTGGAAATCACTGCTTGCCGGATCCTCACTTCAAAGCAACTGCAACATGGAAGGGTTCAATTTGAATCCTTCTACGTATCTCTCAAGATGGACAGCAAAAGCACGCATAGGAATTCTCGGCAACAACGAAAATGATTGCACTTCCTGCGATTCAAGACTTGGCTTTGGAACCGGGGGAAGTTATGTAGGAATGGATGACACCAATAGCTGCGGGAATGAGGCACTTGTGCTCGCAGACAATGGCAACCAACACATCAAGGCCCACTGTTACATCTTAGTGCGGTGAACACGTATCAAATTGGACTGAATTGGAAACACGCATTCCGACTGACACTTGTCACGTTTACTTACCTCTTAGATTTCATGCAACGTGAAGTCAATTTTTCTTTCAAGACTTTTGGGGCACTTCTTTAATCATCACACTTAGTTCGAGTTCAAAAATGTGAAAGAATAACGAAAGATTTACCTACGAATCCTGTAGACAACAGATAGTATTACGCACTTTAAATCATGTTTTAAAATACATGTACTACCAATTGCGAAAGCAAAGCACTTTTTAACGGCGCGAGCCCGAGGGCAAGCGCGCTTCTTAAAATCAGAACTGCTTTTGTGTCGCTTATTTCCCGCGGAAGTGGAAAAACAAGAAATTTTAAAGGCTGGTTTTTGAGCTTCTTGAGTCGTAATTTTATAACGTATTGATAGTAAAAAGGCGGTGAAATGTATAGACGAATAACAAAATTAGCCGTTGTGGTAATTTGGGTCTTACATTAATTTCTGATCATCGTGGTTCGCAAAAAGCGAGGATATCAAGAGAATTATAAATGTCAGTGTTCTTTGATAAACGCTCCCTTCGATTCACTTCTATACGAGATTTCGTGCTGGAACTTGGTCACATCATTAATTTGGATGAAATAAAAATAGAAAGTCTCAAACGACTGTATAGTGGATTGTTTATATTACGCAGTAACTATAATCCCAGGAGCTGGGAGCAATGTTAATAAATTTCGACAGAAAGCATTATTGAAACTTCTTTAGAGTATTCTATGTTTCTTTGGAAATACCAAGCGATTCCTTAAGTCATTTTGGTCGTCTAGTTGACGAACTATCGGAGTTTGAACATGTCACAAATTGTCTCGCCAAGTTAAAATATTTATGGCCAGATTGAAACTCGGAAAATAGTAAGAATAACAATAGTACACGGAAAGACTACTTAAAAAATAGTAGGCGATTCGAATACTGTTTGGGCTTCGCTGTGGACGAATTTTTCTCGGTCTGGGTATGCTAGCGAAACACTCGGGATGATCTACTGTAACCTGCAAGGTGAAGGCTGTGATCTCAACTGACTAAACGCCCGATAGTGAGAAAGTGTTACAGAATTTCGAGGATATAATCAACCTAAACTTGATTTTTTTTTTCAGAAATGCCCAGAGATTCCAAGGACTATTTTGGTTTTGCAGGCTCTGCAGTTTACGAATTTTCTGGCCAAGATTTAACATGCAATAATATTTGCTAGTGATTTGCTAATATGTGCTTAAGTCCCTGGGGGGTTTAAAACTGGGAGGTTCCGTCCGGAGGTGCAAGGGCAACCCTAAAACATGGAATCCGGAGACGAGGAACCGGAAATCTGAATCCGGAATCCGGATCCGCGCCCCCATCCCTCTAGATCCGACCCTGTATAGCTACAGTAATTGCATGATAAAATATTATTGGTCCTCAATAAAATAGTCACAAGCGTTAGCTCCATAATTTCTCAGTATATGATTATTATTTTTAGCAAGCTTACTTCCTTTTTTGAATTTTTATGCACTGACTGTAATGAAATTAGAGTAATGAAATTATATTCCCACACGTACACAGAAATATATAGATAGCTACCTAACTTTGTGGCAGTCAAAGATTCGAGAAACAATTGCCGTTTTGGGAAATCGTTAATATTTGATGTATACGTAAAATTGCAAATTTTTATCATCTAATAAAAAAAAATGGTGAGCACTCGAGATTTGCTAAGCAACGTCTAGCAAAAATAGCATGCCGGATGATTCCGATCTTGTCGACCGGAACTTGCCATCAACTCTTGTTAGATAGTTGCTAGTAGCCGCAGGCATCTCTTCACTGTATGAGAGGAGACAGGCACTGAGCGAAACTTTATTTGATCAAATTATGAGAGACCCATGCCATAAGCTACATGATCTGCTGCCGCCACGTAACGAGTCCACTTACTGCACACGAACCCGGGGATACTTTGAGCTACCGATTTGTAAAACACATAGGTTTAGGAACACTTTTATTATGAGCCATATTTTTAATTATAAATAGCTTGCATATTTTTCCTTGTATAATATAATTCTATTTTTATTGTAAAGTAATTCGTAATTCAGCCGCTCCTGCGGCTGCAATGAGTTTGCTAATAAAATCTATCTCTATCTCTATTCTAGTTTTTCATTCATCAGATCATTTCATCTTAATAACGAAAGTTACCTCAGTGATACCTCCTTTCATTCTGCACGTTTTCAAGGTCGCCTTGTTTTATCAGAATGAATGTTTGTGACAGTCTGAGTTTGACATATAAATAGATGCTTAGGAAAAAGGGACAGAATTCAAAAGCTTTGACAAAAGCTTCTGTCATCTTCGTTCAAATGTTTGTCATATCACTGAGAGTATTACGTCATCGTGATCGGTTCGGAGCAGGTCAATTTCTCATTAATTTGTAATTTGTGCAGTGAAAATTAATGAGCGCGTTCGTAATTCCTTTCTCAGTCGTATAATTATAACAAAATGAGCATTCGCATGAGAGGCTCGAGAAATTAAGAATTTACATTACAAAGCGAGCTCTGTCGAGAAAATGCTATTTCACTGTGGTAGACAGTCCTTTTTAAAGGGACACAACCAAGTGTATTTCTGTCTTGAAGTTTATTTAATGTAAATTAATTTCTAGGACTCAATGAAAGGCTAATTCTAAGAACCTTGATTACTTGAGGAAAAGACATGAGAGGACTACACATTTATACAATAACCGGATATTTGAGGCATTCTTTGCGCGCACATCCTGTCTAAACTTCAATAGCCTCTGACGAGTTCTGAGTCATTTAAGAAAGCGTTTTCACTCGTTAAAAAAAGAACAAAAATCTGATTGGGTCTGTGACACTTAGCTATTTCTCGTTAATAGCCGTCAAAATAAACAGTATTCTGCAGTATTCTATATGATTCAGGCTGACGTAATATTGACCGTAACCAATACGCCTTCAGTTGGACATTTTGAAGTCTGTACATAAGCAGTTTTCTCTCCCACCTTTGCAAGCAGTCTGCCGCTGGCAGAAGAATACTTTTCCGATGGATTTCAAGGAAAACTTCAGAGATGCTTTACTGATATTTGACTCCGTTTTCTTGGCTCTAGGATTGGCCAGTAACCTCTTCGTTTTGTTCATTATGACCCGACGCAAGCTGATTAGGAAAAACATCTCCAATTTTTACATATTTCATCTTGCCGTGGCAGAAGTGCTTTACAGGATCGCACTCATTGTTTTGAAAATCTTCAATTCCACTGTAGAGTCCGATTTGATATCCAACGCCGACTGCAAAGCCATGAAATTCTGGCCTAAGGTGACGTGTGCGGCTGTCTTTGTCCTTCTGGCTGGAATCGCCATGGATCGCAAGAACCACATCATAAGCCCGTTAAAAAACTTGGCTGTCGTTAAACACCGTAGTACAAGAATTGTCTTGATTTGGTTTTTCTCTGTGGCTGTTTCATTCCCTCTAATATTCGGTGTCAACGTTAATCCAAAACAGAACAACCCAACGCAGATTAATGCATCTTACTCCGTCCCAGCAGCGGTCACCTGCCTCCTACCACGCGGAACACTCTTAAGCAAAATGTCGTTTACGATTTACTTTCTATTTGCCTTTATTGTGCCCTTGTCAATAATTACAACTTCGTATTGCAAGATTTTTCTTTACTTGCGAAAAAGAGCTGCTAAGCAAAACATGAGTCCATGTTACGTAAGGTCCAAATGCAAGGCACTGCGAATGCTTGTGTTAGTTGTTGTGGGAGTCTTGCTAAGCTGGGGACCAATCATGTTCTCAGATTTGGCAAGAGTTTATGACGCTAGGTTTAAAGTTAGAGATATTTCTGTCAAAGAAGTTACACTGAGTATATCACTCACTAGCTCGGTCATTCATCCTGTGTTATATTCATTTGGAAATGCGAATTTTCGATGCGAAGTTGAGAGGGCTTTTAGAGGCTGTAAAACATGCCTTTCCTGAGAGATCTTGAGAGGAAAACGATGGGGTTTTCTTTTAAAGCGCCAGCGTAAGAGCGTGATTTCCAAGACACTGTCAATCCACCTACCATGATACCTTAAGAAGAAGAAAGAGCTACTCTTGTAGAGGCTTTTGTTGAAGAATACTGCTCCTTGGGCAGTAGCATTTCATTCAGTATGCAGATCATTCCGTGATAGATAAATCAGAACGGTAGCGCAAAGCAGTTGTAGAGTTTCGTAATCTAAAATGGCAGTAGACTAGATATATGCCGTATGTTACAGTTTCAAAGGACGCTTCGATTAATTTATACCGTGGCACCATGGAAAAGATAAGGCTGAACAACAAACAAACAAAATATTAACAACAAGGGACAAGTGAAGGATACTGTAGAGGAATCTTCTGACCGATCGGCCAGCCCGGATCAATTTACTCCAGAGAAATTCAAATTGTACATATCTACTCCAAATTATGACGCAAAGCTTGCTAGAAGCCTCACTCGAGTATGACCCCCCGTGGGGTACTCCCAGGAAAATTTGGTGAGGTTGTGCGGCCGCCTTCCCAAATCACCTACCCTATCTTTCATATCCTACTTATCGCCTGACCAAAAATGCAATATCTTATTTAAGACCTGACCCTTAAATCAAACCTTGTTTCAGATCCCCTTATAATTAGTTCCTTAGTTCAGACCAGTGTTAAAGACAATGTTTAAATGCTTTTATTAGGTAAGATAGCTTCTTCTAAAAAAAAACATACGCGATTTAAGACTAGAGTGCAAAAACTACACCCTATTTCTAACCAAAACGGCTAAAAAACCATACCCTTTGGGGCCGCACATACCTACACAGCCCATATAAGGGAGCAGCTCCTGCATATGGGCTTCCACCTAAGGAGTTTTAAATAGTTTTCAGTACAGTGATGAACAACAAGTGCAACTGGATAAAAAAGAAATTAGATGAAACTCTTGTTAAATATTGATTTTTGAAGACAAAGAACACATTTCAAATATTTGGTGTCTAGTTTTTTGCGTAAATAAACCAAACTATACTTCAACGCTTGCTATAAAATAGACCAAGGT